CGTCGTGGACTTGCACCCGTTGACAAGCTGAGTGAAAAGTAATACGATTAAAGAAATCGAGAAAGGAACGTTTTACTTGCGCAAATTATAAATAAAGTGTTTAATGGTGTATAATTGTACACGGTCGACTTGTTGCCGGAATAAGTTTATTGATATGATAATAACTTATTTAATACGGTTCAGCGGTTTAGTTGTTCCACGACTGTTTTTTTCTATCAGGTGCACACGTGGACGATTAGGGCAATTAGCATAAAGTGACGTAATGCGGTTAGTTTTCAGTTCAGCAAATTAAAATGAAAGTTTTTGGTTTCACATAGCCAAGTAGTAATAAAAGTAACTCTTTGTCGCTATCGCTCTTCCTTTATTTCCTAATATTGGTGAGTGTATTATTGCGGGTCATTTTTCTCTTTCTTTTATTTCGTTAGGACAAGAAACACATTTGAAGACCTGCACATAACCACGCTTTTCAGTCTTACCATGACTACTCGTAGTATGTGGGTATATTACTACCAAACGATACTCAGATTCGTTCATTATATACACTAAAGCAAAAAAAATACTGATCTAAATTAATTTTATCTGTAACATCTAGAATACTAATCTAATTTCATTTCATCCGAAACAAACAAAATACTCGTCTATTTTACGTGCGCAATGCACATTTCGCGTTCTTGTTATTGTAGTTCTCGATCCAGTGCACGTATCGCCGTTCAAAAGCAACGCGTGGCGCCGTTGTAGAGAGTTGTGATCAACATATTGTTTGTTTAGTTGCATTATATTTTTATTTTTTATGTGACATCAATTATAAGCTCAATTAGAAATAAAATAAAATACCAATAATTTCTAAATATAAGTTTTTTTATACTTTTTATTTTTTCTGCAACACCCCATTATTACACCTGTAGATACGAGTTGTATTTTGACAATGGTTAGTCTTTTATGAATATCGTTCAGACCCTCTTTTCAATCGCTTACTGCTATTTATATAAACAGTAAATAACATGGGACTACAAGCTGAAACAATAACACCATCCACGTAATAAATCAAAGTAAACGTAACCCAGTTCACAAGCTTTCACATTAACCCCCAAAATATTGTATCAGAAATGAAAGATGTAAAATATTCAGTCCACTGTAGGTTGTTTAACCTAAATTTGGTTTTTCCTTTATGACGCATTTAGAAAATTAACGACTTTCGCTGTATTTTTTTATCACACAATATAATGGTGGTAATAAATCAGCACAGCTGGCGATATATTTATCAGAATGTGCCTGCTTTGCAATAATATTCACATATTAATAACATTTAACATAAAAATAATTTATGTCCCATAGTACAATAATAAATGTTTGTGAACAGTTGGGACACATATAAAGATTAAAAAAGAAGTTGTTTAAATATGTTGAGTCAGTGCTAAGAAAAACAGAGATGAAAATATATTTTTAAACAAGAATTTCTTAAATAATGTTAAGTACTATGCGCAGTGTACATGCAAGTTACGGTAATCGTAAGATATTCGATATATTTAATGTGGAGTCATTGTATCACTTTCTTTTGAAATCATAGAAGAACTGCTATACCATACCACCCGAGTTGTACTTAGTTCACATCCGATGCAATATTTGACAATAATAATTGTCCTACAGAAAAATATGTCGCGAAAACCTAAGCTTTCAGTTTGTTCCGACAGTACGACTTTAAGGTAGAAATGCAGTTTACCTGACAGGTATTTTAATTAGTTAATTATGAAACCAAAATGACCTTCCTTGTCCACAAAACTATATATTTTCGGAAAGCTTATTGTATGAATTTTAAAATTTTTTTAGTATTTTTTTAATGGACACTGTAGTTAGAAGTATGCACAAAAATGTGTTTTTTTGGTCAAAAGTGATTAAAAAGAATAGCTTCTAAACTATGCTTCTGTTTCCTGTCAAAATTGGTTTATGAGTTCATCTGTTTACTATGAAGAAAGTGCCGTCTTGAAAACTGTCTACCAGTTGTCAATTGTGCAGGGCAGCAGCTCAAATTTCACTACTTCAAGTTTATGCATAAATTAACACCCAGGCTAGTTGTCTGTGCGATTGGTGTGACACTGTTCAACCAAAAACAATGCTCCGACGGCGTTTTGAAGATAAACACATTGTCAATCATTTGTGAAAATTTCAAAATAAAAGGTCAAAGCGTCTAGGAGCTATTTTTTTTAATGTTCTGGAATGTGCACTAGAAAGAAGCTGAGATAATTGCTAATTTGCATAACAATTCACTCAGTTTGCTAATGCTCATAATTAAAATGGCTGTAACAGATTCAAATTTAAATGTATTATTGTTTTGTTAAAAGTTAAATATAGTGCATGATATGGAGATACCGTCATTTCTTTTTTTTCACCATGTTTCTTGTTTATTATTTATGTACAGCCTTGCTAAGCATTCAAAAGAGATAATGTTTGCACCTGTTATTTACATTTTAAAATCGTTTTTTGAGTATGTTCCACTATTTACAATTCTACAAAATTTTAACAGTCTATAGCCAAGACTTTTTTGATAATAAAAAGCAAAACAAAAAATTCACTCCCAAGTGCCCACGAACCTGCATCTCTATCTTAATTGGAAAGGAACACTGCAATATTTGGTATTCAACGGCAAAGTTGGAGAGGTGGTCTCCGAACAGAATAAAGTACTTTGGCTTTACGATAGTAAATAAAGTCCCACAAAAAACTTGGATGTCGTGATTGTCAAGTCAAAACACTGAGATCGATAGAGTTTCATGATAAATAATTTACATACTTAGGTAATCAATGTCTTATTACTGTACTGTACTGCTGTGCATTAAACGAATTCGACAACTACTAATAACCCACCAATCAACCAATATTGTTGACCACGACTAGATGTATTGAATATGTGTACCTTCCTGCATAATATGTTTTACGCGCGTGATTTAAAAATAGTTCATTAAGAAATAGTGTAAGCTCAAATGTGTGTCCATTGCATCACCTATAAGTGCGTCTGCAACTCCTGTGCAGTCGAGACAGTCAATGCCATTTATAGAATTACCATCGACAGTTTACATAGATGAGTATATTTATGCAATAGAAGACATTTTGAATTGGTTTTGTGAGTCAAATAATCCGGCTTTTTCACTGTTAAATGATATGTAATTCCCCCATTATGGCACACGGCAACAGTCACGCAACATACATCTTCCAAGACAATGTGTAAGTGCCCAATACAATATAGGCTGAAAGCAGCAATAACACAGTTAATGTTGCAATTGAGTGAAAACAGCGATCATTCAGATCTTTTCGCTTTTAAGGCAAACACACGATTCGACTTATAGGAAACTGTGTATGAATTCAAGGTCCATGTGTTCTATTTATGACAAACGTTGAATGCATTCCTAGCCGTTTTTGACCACGTGTTCAATCTGTACACACTTCCTGTTGACAGTACTGTCCATGAAATTTAATCTTGACCAAGTTTCTGATACTGATATCATAGCTTATACATACTTCATACTAAACACGATGTAGCATTGACTGGAGCCCTACCAGGAACATGTTGTTTCTCCGCGTTTCTTTATTTATAACTCCAGGTTGAATATAAATCACTATTCTTGTTTTGTTTTAGATTTAGTAGAGCTTCTATTAGAGAAAGGAGTTCGTATTGGCGATGCCCTTTTACGAGCCACGGACGTGCAATTTGTTGCCGCCATAGAACCGATATGTGACCATTTAAATAGACAAGGAAAGCTAAAGGTGCGTAATATTTTATTTTACACTGCCATTCTGAAGGTACGGTGACAATACGTTTTTGGGGGTATATTATAAAGGTTTCTGACTAAGTAATGTCAAGTTACAATCATGTAGTCTTACAAAGGGCACCGAACAAAGGCACAGTTTTATTAGTATTAATAATATATCGCTTCCCATTTGCTGTTCGACAGGATGGGTTGAACTGTCGCGACTCTAAAGGTGATCTCCATCCAGATATCACACCCGTGGTGTTAGCCGCGCATCATAATAATTACGATATACTGAAAACGTTGTTGGAATATGGCGCCTATCTTCAGGATCCAGATATGAGTAATACTCACGATTTTCAAACTACGGAGTTTACTCTGGAGTACTCGATCGGTAGGATTAATATATACAGGGCACTGGCAAGTGAAGCTTATATAGCGCTGACCAGTGAAGATCCAATTAATACGGCATTTGAGCTCAGTTGGAAACTCCAACAACTAAGTGAACGTGATTATGAGTTTCATTTTCAGTATATTGAACTGGCCGACCAGTGCGAGCAACTGGCTGCCGACTTGTTGGGTCAGGTACGTGACTCTAGAGAACAAAGTATTGTTCTTTCGCACGATCCCAAGGAATGGGTGACGAGTCGAGACTTCCACGAACCCAATAAAGTGAAGCGAGCCTTACGATTGAACCAGAAAAAGGTAACTGCAGTCTTTGTCTTCTCATCATTCAAGCTATGTTCTATGTCAAGTACAAGCAATGTACAATATGTTATAAAGTATGGAGACTATACATTGTCACAAGTTAGCCACTATCCACTTTGATTTAATAAACGGTATTATTTCTAACCGCTATTTTCAACACGTATATGTGACCATAAATATATTTTCTGGAACCTTAGATAGCATAAAATGATTAATTCTGCTCGACGGATTTGCTACGAATAAAAACACTTGTTACGCCTCCGCGTAACGCAATATGGCAGCACGTCACGGCCTCACCTTGACGTTTGTGGCGTTTCACGAGTGCGGCGGTGTGCCATGCAGCGGTATATATTCACGATACCAGCGAATGAATCTTCAGCATGGATGCACACCATTACGAGGACGAGGAAATGGTGTTCTGTTGTTATTACATACGTTCCCATATTTTACGAAAATCGCCAGGAAATTCTCAACCAATTCATCCAAAATTGTCTTATGAGTGCGCGCAAAAGCAGTGATCTATTTTAAACTTTAACTATTATTGATTAATCAGGCATTTTATTCTATTCATATGCAAATGTTTACAGACGCGCACGTTGCAGGTTGTCGTAGTGTTGACGACAATTTTCTTCATGCATAATTAATTAATAACATTACCAATTGCTTGGTGACGTCATTTGATATACAGCTAATTACAGGATTCTGTTTATTTCATAATTCTTTGTGTTTCTGTGTAAATAACAAGAGCTGTTTGCAGTGAAGAAGCGTGATGTGTCATGCCTACTGTAAAATGTGTTTTTTTAGCTGGTATATTATTGTAGCAAATACATTTAACCTGTAATTTCGCTAATTCAAGATGTCGCTAATTCAAAATTAAGTTTATTGACACAATTAGCTTGTTGGCACTTAAGATTTTGTTTAATGAATGCATTAATCAAATTCGTTGAAATTATATGAGCCATTCCAACGTCTTTAACAATATGCGGTGGATCCATTAATAAAGTTGTATTAATTTCATACCTTAAATTCATAATTGCAATACTTGACTGAATTTAAGCTTGAGGGACCAAGGCACGACTAATTCCATTGTTTGACGTGCATTGAAATGAACACGGTTCAGTAAATTTCTTTAATTACTTTCACTAACGGGATGACCACGATATATGCTCGCATACGATCAGTATAGACAATGCAGTTTGCCGATCAATATGATTACCCTTTGGGATGTATACGCTAAATGAGGTATCTTTGTAACAAGTTCATTCAAAGGTATGGAAACGGTACATCAAGCCAAAAGTGCATATTCCGTGAGTTGTAATGACATTGGAATTTTATTGCCTAGTATACCTTACGAAAAACGGACTTTCAAAACAAATATCGACTTGAAAGAAATTGCAATTACGCATAGGACAAAGCCCTCATATGAGGAATCTCTTCTGTTCTGAGATATAAAGTCACACCAAAAATATAATGTCGAGGCCGCAGTTCGAGGCGTTTTTTCGTGGGGAGTCTAATAGTTGAACTGACTATTAAAACTTGCAGGAATGTATAAACAATTAATACTGTTTCCGTTTATGACTCGTTTTCTCAAATATCTTTGTTCTCATAATTTTGTTTAAGACTTTCAGTTCTAGGACTTGTATACGTCTTTGTCCTCATAAAATGTATAACGTGACATATGGATAGCAGCACACTAGATGCTAGATGCTAAAGACATTCTTTTTATTACAGTTTGTGGCTCATCCTCACTGCCAGCAACAGCTAATCGAATTGTGGTACCGAGGTCTTCCATCGTGGCGTAAGCAGCACGTGATGCAAGCCTACATGATTTCATTCGGCTTGGGTCTAGCCTTCCCCTTCCTCTGCCTCTGCCATATCTTTGCGCCTGGCAGCAAACCCGCATTGTTGCTTAAAACCCCGTATGTACGTTTCATCTGCAACGTTGCGTCGTCTCTAGCGTTCCTGATTCTATTATCAATACAAGCCGTCGACTTTCATACAGTGATGCAACCACACGCCAATCTAAACAAGTCCGAAACTGAAGAGATGGATCAGCTAAGAGGACAACACGTTCTATTCACAGAGGCTCTTGTTATGTTCTTTGTTTTCTGTAAGTATTTTTTATAGTAACAGACTGATAACCAGGGATGCAGAAATTCTGTTTGTGCATCTCGTGCCACCTCTTCCAGTGTATCACTGTTTCTGTTAATTGCTAAACCCACGAAAAAACAAAGATAATATCCAGATTACAAAATTAGTAAAATTATCGAAACTTTCCGTAACTAGTGTTTGTAACACCCTTTTATTATTGGTAATAGTTCATTGATAAGTTTATAGATTCGTAAAAACAGAATTGGTTTCAATAAGATCATGATATGTCAGCAATGTACGGATATTACTGTATTGTATCATTTTAGTATCCTTCTTTAAATATTTAACAAGGATGACGTAATAAGCAAGAGTGTGCTCACTTCTATCAAAGTAGGTTTGTTTTGCTATTTAGTTAGTAGTCACAGCTGTAGTGATATACGATGCACACGGATAAAGTGACATTTTGCGTGCTGCATTTGCGACATGGTGATTTGCAAATGTCAACATTTCATTGAATGCGGTTTTTTTGTGTTCTTAGGTCACACGTCATCTGAAATCCAAGACATTATGAAAACAGGAACTAGAGGTATAAAGTATAATTTTACTTGGAAACTTCTGGATTACATGATGTTATCATTATACTGGGCATGGATTGCATTGAGAATCATTGCGACATTGGAGGTAAGGTATTTCAATAACGTTTCACATGATTACAGGTGGTGTTGTCAGCAAGTCTATGATTACAGTTAACACACGAATTAATCAACGTGGCAGTCGTAAATAATTTAACATACTGAACATGCATATTTATCAATTACAATCCATGCATATATTATGCTAATATTTGGGGATGACGTCACTTTGAACCGTGAACTATACATAACAAAACTGTATGATGATAGAATAGAACGCTTATAGAAAATTATTCACCAATAATTCTATGTTTCATTAGACTGAATGCCGTTGACGAGATATAAAAACTAGAAAACCAGAAAAGAAATCAAAGCAACTGTTTAATTATAATAATCATAATGCCACACGCTGCCATAATTGAAGCCTACGTTCTCATTGGTCGATCGGGACTAAGTGAAGACGATAATTATGTAGTGATTGAGAACAATGAAAGAACATACGGACAAGATTGTGTGTGTCACACAGAATTATCCGTTGTTTTCCACACATTTGTACGCAGATTCTTTCATTCCGTAATGTTCCGGTAAAAACAAATGTTGATTTATTGTTTGTGTTTAAAATCAGAAACTGAAATTATTTAGGTTATAATAATATCAAATATTCATCAGATTTATTATTACCACATTCATAAAATCTTCTCCCGCTGGAATATGTGGATTTACCAGCATGCGTTGACAAAATTAAAAAGTTAGCGTAAATTATTGACTTAACCACTACCGGGATCATAATTCAAAACTACAAGGCCGACGATTGAACGTACGTTTCCAGCCAGGTGAGAGTCATTGGAATGTACATTTAACAAAATATATGACGTAATTTGGTAATGGCGGTGAAATCGTGCTGATGCACTTGAATAACTTAACTAAGTGCTGCAAAATAGAAGCGATCATTTGCTAAACATACCAACAAATATGTAAATTTAGCTACTTAAAAAATACAGCTAATATAGTCGAAATAAAACAATAATATTGTACCCAAATAAAGTATCAAGGTATATGAACAGTTGTGGATGAAATTAAACTGCCACACTACACAAACTGCTGATTTTGATTGGATGGAACGCATCCAACGTATGATTTGGGTGACTATTTGGTTATAGCTTACTTACATATTGAAAATTTATAGCAAGTACTAGTGTTTCTTGATATGATAAATGCTGTATTTACAGACGATTCTTATTTTCTTTTTACTTCTCAATACTAATTGTTGTTGATTTTTTTCCTTTTTTTCTCTCTCATGTTTGTATTGAGAAATTCCACCCGCAGCTGATTGGAATGCAGGATACGGTGAATGGTAATATCACCAAGACGGAATTGGTCTATGATGACAGCCAGAGTGACTATGTGGACGATTTCTATTACAGTGATTACTACGGTAATAACGCTAACAATGTGCCGTCGGAACAAGACAGTAGAATGGTGGAACTGCTAAAGCGGCAGAGTGCAATGGAATTAACGCTGGAAAGAATATACGCTAAACTGAATGAAGCAGAATTAAACCCGGATATAAACAAACGAGATCGACGGGCTGTGCGCCGGCCAAAGCGACCATCCAGTGGAGGGGGGTCAGCTGGGGCAACAGACGCACCAGCGGAAGACTCCGCGATTGCCAGGCTCGACTCGTTGCATCCTATCTTAGTGGCCGACGGTATATTCGCAGTAGCCAAAGTGCTCAGCTTTTTACGCGTCATACGAATGACTGTTGTGCATCTGAATGTGGGTCCCATGCAGATTTCCCTGGGCAGGATGACTTATGATATTGTGCGTTTTCTTGCAATATTTACCCTGGTTTGGTTCGCGTTCTCTGTTGGATTGAATCAGCTTTACTTCCACTACACAAGGGAGCACGCTGTGACTTGTGGTATGGAAGCAGCTGGTCGTAAGTGCAACCCACCTTATGGCAGGTAAGGCACATTTTCATGAAGCCTTTTGATTCGTATATTTATGCTACTTGTAGATTTATATACAGCATATGTATATATATACCGACAAAACAAGACCAAACTTAATATAGTTGTTTTGTTTTGGTTAGAAAGTTACCTGTATTAAGTACTTCATTTTAAATCACTATGCCGTTGTAGCATACTATTACATCAGAAACACAGTTAGACGACACTTGATTTGTTCGGGTATACCTTTTTACAAAGCATTCAAAATGTTAGAACCTCCAAAGTATTTAAATCGGTAATTACCATTCAACGAACTATTTCTATTTAAACAAAAATGACGGGTGAATAAATGAATTAATTGAAGGAATTTGGGGAGGGGGTATACAGAATGGTCAAAAGGATTATCCGATTACCAGTTTTGTTTCGAGAAGATGATAATTCAAATCGTACTTATAAAACTGTATGGCGCCATGGTTTAGCGACTTAATATTAATGACGTAAAGATCAATAACCTGTACTCAAGTCCCACATGTGGTTGAGGTATTTTCAACACGAAGAGAATATGATACATAGATCATCCCTTATATAAGAAATCTCATGCTTTGCCATGGTCAGTAGTGAAAAAGTAGAAAACATTCTACGGCAATGTCATTTGTTTCCTTTTCTGAATAATAAAATACAACTACACGTATCATCTTTTTTATTGTCTAGTTAGTTGAACATTCCAATGCGTGTGCTGCTGCAATAATGTAGCATCTTCTCCTATGCGCTTTACAAAATCAAAAATCAACAGTTTCAGTTCGTTTTCAGATTATTTCAGAAATCGTATCATATCACTGCATATTAGGTTCTCCGGATTCTATTTAAAATTGCCACGTGTCGCCCAATAATGACCTCTTCCATTTACGACACAATTGTTTGATCCCGGTGTAAGTGTAATGAATGATTTAATGAATGAATTAATTAATTAAAAGACACAATCCACGCATTTTGATTAACTTGGCACCTTTACCAAACGCATGTATTCGCTTTATTTGCTTTGCTAGTGTTTCTAATGCTTTAGCAACACTATTTTGGACGCTGTTTGGGTTGTCTGATCTATCGAGCCTAAAGATTCTTCACATGGATCATTGGTTCACGGAAATGGTTGGACAGATGCTATATGCTGCATACCACGTGCTCGCTATTGTTGTGCTGCTCAATATACTTATTGCAATGATGAGCAACACCTACACCAAGATCGAGGTGAGTCGCACCACATCATAATCTTGCGGAGACTTTGGCAAGTGCACAATGGGGTGTTGGTCACGGTCGACGTTGGATTTACTTCCGATCAGCAATAATATGGGGTTCTTAGACTGATATTTTAGTATTCCACCTTGAGCGTTGTCGTGCCGAAAATATTAATGCTTAATTGTCAACATACACGTTACCTTTGAGCAATGAACAAAATATAATGTGTAACAACTTAGTTTTCGGCGTACTGTTGTAAATATATCACCCGGAAAATTCATAAACATGTGTAAAATGAAGCGTAAAGGCTCTCGATCGACTGGTTTTGAAATTACCTCTTTTAGTTTTTGTATCGCAGGTGCGCGGTTTGTAATGTAACAACTACACACTATAATAATATTATTATCTATCGTTATTTAGATATATCAATATCAGTTACGTAGCATACATTGTTGTCGGTGACGTATACGTTGCTATAGTTACATGTCTGGGCTGTCTGGAAGACAAAAAAATATCGCCACCCTAATGGTGGTAAATATTCGTAGTTTAGGTATTGAAATGTACAAGATAGATAATTTGTATTACAACTGTTGTGTACATTGACGTTGATGGGTCCAATGATTGTGTTGGGGGAGTGGTGTCATGTGCAATAGTTATGCAATTTAGCGCGACGAAACCATTAACCTTATATGTGCCGATATTCACCGGTGCATCAGAACCGTTAGCTTCTGTCAGTCAGTGAAATGACTCTGTATTGTTCACGTGTTTGCACTGAGCATGCGTACGTCAGTGCATAGTTTTTTGTCTGATCCGATATAGTAGTTCTCTAGTGTCTACTGGGGGAATTCCCCCAGATAAAACTGAACAATTAATTAAGAAATGTGCATGTTAATTTTATAGGAAGACGCTGACATGCAGTGGAAGTACGCCAGGTCGCGATTATGGTTGAGTTACTACGAGAAACGAACAGCACTAGCGCCACCATTCAATGTGTTTCCAACCTGGGACAGCTTCCGAAAGATCATAAGAACATTTAAAAGAAAGATTTACGGCAATTCTATGGAAAGAAAAAAGGTATGTTATTTTTGTCAATCTGTTCTTTTTTCGGAATTGTTTTTGGATATATTGATTTACAATAAATACATTGATTAACATATTGTTCAACTTTAGTCTTCAATGTTACAGAAAGTGGTGATATAATGTTTTAATAAAACCTTTATTTACCATGTGTTCAGAAAGCTTAGATAGAGAGAAACACAAAATAAATATACTAAATAGTTTGTTTAGTTAAGTTTCACGTGACATTGTCAAAATGATTAAATCCGCGCGTTCGATAAAACACTGTAATATTTCTTGCTGAAATTTATGGCTTATATACTGAGAGTTACTAAGTGCATGTAAATGTGTTCTGGCAGTTTTAAGAACATATTTTAAAAGAGTTGTTCAAGCTCAGTACTTCACTACTACTTAACACATTTGATGGGCTGTTACCCTATGAAATATTGACATTATCCTTGCCATGTGAATAATCGTTATTCTCACATATCCACTTCGTGCCTCCTGGCACATTAAAGCCATAACGCTTGTCTTTCAGTTCTGTCTGTCTTGTGCACTTCATCTGACCTCATTCCAAATGTTCCATCCACCCAACTTTCTTTCCTTTTCCGCTGTTCACCTCCATGTTGCCCAATATATTCAACTTGTACTCTCTCATGACTTTTGCTACATGTGCTCTTTTTCATATTGCGTACATTGTTCTTACATTCAAGTTCAATCCCAATATTAAGAACTTGTTTTGGCTTTGCAAGTGACTCCATCAGTCGATGGACTTCCTTGCGGCTTTCACCCAAAAACGTAATCCTGCTCTGGTTATCAGAGAATCTGATGTTATCATCCTCTGTTTTAAAGCCTGATTTAGTTCAACTAATCGGAATTAGTATGAAACGTATGGCACAAGCGTAGTAGAGGTGACTCTGACTTGTGAGATTCAGTATTCAGTAGCGGCTACCTAGCTCGAATGATTTGCTGTGTTATTACAACAAAATACCAGTGCTACTTGGAGAACAAAGTAATAATATTTTAAAAAGAATAATGTCACACAAAACCGCGGAAATTGTGTGTTAGTGTTCATGTAATCAGGGAGTAAACCATCGTCAGACATTGCTGTGACAATATATTAACAGACTGTTAACAGATAGGCAATAGTTCCGGCGCATCTGATAAATACACTGTAAAAATAGAAACATGTCCAGCAGGATGCATCAGCGACCCTGTAAAGTTTCATTCATTCGTCGCTCAGTTTTTATTACAGGACCGGTATTCACTTGGGAGTATGCTATAAAGAGAAGCAGCGTGGAGTCAGCGAAACGCGGTGATATTTGCCTTGATATAGACCAGCACAAATATGAAACGTTGCCTCGTCAGTTTGTTAACGTATCTTGTATGACGTTGTTATAATCTGTTTGCATTGCAGAAAAAGAGAAGTATTATTGAAAGAAAGCACAAAGAATACAGGGTCTGTGATGTGTTTGTTTGTTTTCTGTATTTATCTGCAAATTGAGCTCTGTAAATATCGACCATCTTTCAATCGTATCAAAAACTGTGTGATACATACTCATTTATTCTTAACTACGTTTGTTTGCGTCACTTTTACAGGAGGTCGTACAGCAACTGACGCAGCGTTACCTTTTTCAACGGAAGCGAGTGGGTGAAGATGACGATAATAAAGTTGGTCCGGAGCCATGGATAGCAGATCTCAAACGTGACGTTTCAGGATTCAAATACGATTTACTGCAAAGTCTCACCGATATGGACAGTAGGATGAAAGATATCCAAGAACAGATAGACGAGGAGAAAAAAGAACCCACACCCAGTCCTGGCACGGAGATTGAACACGCGCTGAGAAACTGTATGAATGACCCACCGCCTAAACCCAAACCCCCAAAACCTAAGCGAAATAATATGCCGTCGACGAGTCCCCTCACGCAAGGTACCTTCACGAAGAGGGGGATGATTCAAAGATCGTTACGATTCGCCGACGGATTTTACGAGGGGGAGGTCGACTACACGTCAGATGAAGAGACTGTGTAGATATGCTTTGTACGCTAGCGGGCGCCATTTTTAGTATGTGTGCATATTGATCATGCGTAGAAAGCAAGTTGTTACGAATATTGTTTGAGTTTAGTTAGTGAGGTCAACGTTATGTGACACAGTCCGGAATAGGGAAATATATCATCTTTGTGTGATCCTTTTCAAAAGAGCTTTGATAATATTAAGTTGACCATGTTTCATGATTTGTACATTAAAAATACATACTCATTTTTTAAAAATACAACCTGCAAACGTAGACTAGAAATGTTTTATGTTAGGAGCTCACGCAAAGCGAAAGAGTTTATTTATTATAGAATATTTATCTCTCGAAGCAGAATTTCAGCAGTAACGAATTTTCTCAATTACTGAATGTGTATGCAGTTTCTGTGGTTGCGGATATGTGGATTGGCCTCGTAATGACGTCATCAATGACTCGTGACACGCTGTAGATAATTACACTTCTAAAATTTCGCGACACTTTTGTATTAGTTTGAAATTACCATCTTGTACGTCATGTTTTTCATTGCGTCATAACCTATTGTTACTGTCCATATCTGTTCTTATTGTTTGATGTAATTAATAGTAACATTTTAAAACTACTAGTATACGCACGCGATAGCGTGCTACTTAAATGTAAAACGCTCTGAAAAAAGCTCTGTATTTACACACAAAAAAATGAACTTAGGCTCTTTCTTTGTTGTCAACATATTTTAATTTTTGTAAATTACGTATAACCGTTGATTATTAAGTTTAAATCAATGAATGTTTGTTGATTTTCGCTATCTAATTATTGCATTAGTTTTTTTAAGACAAGAAATGTCTGACAACGAACTTATCAATATTTGATACTAATGAATGTTTTTTGGATGGGCACGCAACAATTGAAATAATCAGAACTAAATCGACATATTGCATTCTCCTTAATTCAAGGTCATTACTGTAGGTTAATGTACTTGACCACCGGCGAGATTTTAATAACATTGTACGCTGTATCGAGTTTCTGCACCACATTTACATCTCCTACAGTTTAAATATCTTCAATCATATGTTTTTTTTTGTAAATGATTTAGATATTTTTAATTGGTCAAATAAAAGTCAATGTACTTTTATTTACTTTGCCATAGCTTTAAACAAGTCTGTATATAGTGAAAGCGTTTCGCTAGAGGGCGCGCACGCGATATACTAGTATAAAAGTGTTAACAAATATATCGATAACAGTAATAATTAGTAATTACACACAAGGTCTAGCACGATTGGCTCCCGATAAACAGCGCCTATTCGTCCACCCAATCAAGGGCCTACGTTTCCTTATTTGGTGAATTTGAAGATATATTTTTCCTGGCCTCAGAATAATTATAACGCTATACAAGATGCTGTTCTTCTTGTTCTATTATTATTATTATTATTATTATTATTATTATTATTATTATTATTATTATTATTATTATTATTATTATTATTATTATTATGACATATATACCAGTTGTGTTACTTTCCAGTTTGCTATAATTATATTACTCCGTTTACAAATGTACACATATTTTATTGTTAGTGTATGTTTGCGACAGTTATATAATTATGTATAATTATACGCTGCAATTGACTGGGGAATTGGCCAATCATAACACATAATGTGAATGTATTAAAAAGGTACGAAAATTACGTTTCAATTGGGATTATAAATATACACTCAAATAAAGTATATGTTCGTATGATAACGTCACATGAACATCAATACGGATGGGCAAATAAAGACAAAGAAATAAAAAAAAGTGTCATTCGACGCAAGTGATACCTAGAACCATATTCTAGAACACGTTTTATGATTTGTGTTTTTTTCTTTCACGATAAGCGCATGTATCCTAAGTTTCCTATCTTTCTTCTAAGAGATCTGTATTGATATAAGGTAATGCGTTTTTTTAGCAACAGCGCCGCCTAGAGTAGAAAATGAAACAAGTAGTAGTTTATCCGAATTAACGTTATGCCATATTTTGTTTTCGTGTCTTGCCCGCTGTGCAACAATTTTTTACTAAACATAATTTCATTTACACTACAATATTACATTACACTATCACGGTAAAGTAAAATAATATTAGAGTGCTCAAAATTGTTGAAGTGACAATCAACAATCTGGTACATGTACGTACATCGCACCGCTAAATTTAAGATTCATCTCGGAATTATTCCCCGGCGCTGTTGCAGAATGAGTCATTTAGATTTTGAAATAAATGAATTCATTTAATAAAATAATATTTCATTGAAAATATTTTTTTGTTATCACATACACGCATATACACCCTACCATTCTTACATGTGGTAACCCACTACATGATCAACTTCGGCATTGTAAGCAATTCAAATTACCTTATAAAACAATCTTAAAAACCTTATAAACTTCGCCATTTACGAAGCCAGTCTGCCCTATACTGGAATAATCTTCAAACTATTCAATATGTACAAACTGCAAACACATAACCTTCCCTTCTGAACCAATACAACTTTCATTTGGAATAAAGAACGTACGACTCTCATACATCGGACGACCGACTTTTTCTCACCGGTATACATATATATATATCAATACGAACTCATAGACCCTCTCTCGTCCATGGACTGACCACCGTGGTATATACGAATGCACACAGAACCACCGTTCTATCTTACTAACCAAACGTACCAAACTATTATTCCAAGCAGCACGCATATTTAAACTACCACGTTATTCCCACAAGCCTCTGGCCATCTGCGTGTGTACCGAACCACCGTCTCTGGGCTGCATTTAGACTATACCACTCGTTCAACGACACGTACCTAACGCCTTGATAATTGCCACATTTTGTACAACCGGTAAACACGATTACGTTTTTTTGTACGTGTATGCTACGACTTCTGCTATACTGAACACGATGAAACCATCTAATACATTCAGTTACGACATACCACTTGGGAATTGAATAAAGTAACATCACTACATTTTTTGGTCGGCGTCGTGTTCGATATGGGATCCATAGCAACGCATGTGTTTTAAATCGAATATAACAAATCGGTGTGCAAAGTACGCGATTACATAAATACTCATACATTGAATTGGATTGATAGCAGTATGAACACAAATACCACAAGCTTGACAATATTTTAATTGCCTCTTTTTTACAATCTATCACATACATAGACTGACATATAGCGTACGATTTTTGGCTTAGAGATTGTAGAGCGACGATATGACCATTATTTCACCATTATAACAGGAGAATAACGGGGTGTACACTATTATTTAATACCATGAAGTAAAATGCCTGAATTCTATTAAGTGAAATAATCATGGTGAGTTTGCTTGTTTGTTGTTTAGTCTAAATGTGGAGTAAACACATCGTATATTTTTAATTCATTTGATCACGTAATTTTCGACATTGTAAAATTCTTTCGTTCGTACGCAGAAAAATACCGTATTATTATTAAGTAAAATAGTATTTATTAAGGTTGTTGTTCATGCATGAGTTGTTGGATACACTACATAGTTTGTAATTTCATTTAGCTTCTTTCAGTCATAATTCAAGACAAAAAAAAATGCAAAAGTACAGAGAATATAGCAAATTATCTGAAATCGGTAATTATGAAAATTGTCATTGTGTGCATATAGAATACATTTAGAATACATATGAATTATTCTTAATATATATATTTAAAAAAACGAAGGAATTTCACAATGTCGAAGACGGAATGTCGTTATGATCGTAGTGTTGAGAATCTTTGTCTTTTTTTAAACAAACAATCAATCAAGTAGAAAATACCAATGAGTCAGTCAATACATCGATCAATCAATCAATCGATCGATCCATACTTACTTTGACGTCAGTGGGAAAATTACTAAAAATACACGACCTGTCTATACGTAGTGTGAATACATAACATTTACGACCAACTGAACGCATGGTTTTATTGCCATGCAATGTAATACGTGTAGACTTAACCCAGTAAAACTGTTATTACGAGCACAAAATTAATATATATATTGCATAAACTTTAACGTGTTATGTGACTCTCATTCACGCTTATGCACCTTCATCAGGTTTCTGATTGTTGTCTCTGTTTGCAGCATCCCTTTTGACGACACTATCAGGGCTGAGAGATAGGGACTGTATTCATTTGGTTTTATCGCTTCCGAATCTTTCAATTACTTTTGGATTTACTGGAATGAGTGGTTGTTGTCATTCAAACTACATGGTCGATGCACACTTTACGAACGTGTACACACTGTCAAGATCTAATGTATCAACTGTACGAAGTCAGTATATTGTACCGTGGCGGTCGTAGCTTCATTCGAATCACAACTGAACATAAATCCAACATAAACAGACAAATCAGTGAAGCGGTAAAGCTCTTCTAATGCAATCCGAATTCTGGAAAGAAGCCGCCATGTATGCAAAAGAAACTGGGCATGCACGTGGAGGGGAAGTTCATTAATCTCCTTACTGATGCAGAGAAACGCGCTTCCTTATGCGTTTATTGCTAACTGCGAGGTCACATTGAACTTCTGATTAGATCGATTTGATTGAAAACCTTTCCATCCGATCTGGCTCCTAATAGCCGCGACGGTAGCAATGACCTTATAACACGGTGCATATTACATGTGTTTTTTTTTTCTGTCAGAGTCATGGAATCGCATCAAATCCAAGGTGGCTATATGTAAATGTGTCGTGGTGTCACTAAGGTCACGTGATTGCTGAGACGTGTTAGCCGTTATAGTTGAGGTTGTTGAAACGATGCAGCAATCTACTAGTATTTGTATGTGTGTACAAAGTGGGGGTGGGATGTTTGGGGTGGTGCTATAAACCAGGATTACATTTCCAAGATGAAAAAATATGTTATTTTGGCGTCAACAAGTGTGCAGCTCGGGTATTAAAGTATATACTCCTCTTCCGGGAATTAAATAGTATGAGTGATGTTTTTTATCAACTTTGTTATTCACGTTGTTACATGAATGTTTCCATGCAAAAAAG